CAGGGAGCTGAAGCAACAAACCCACTGTGAACCGCAGCAGTAACCCCCAAACAAATGAACTGAATTCCCTAGGCCTCAACCCCAGTCAAGACAATGCAGTCTTTTTTGTGGGAGTCCAAACCATAAAGACACCTCTGCTGAGCTCTCTGAACAACAAAAGATTTCACAGAATCACAGAATCGTCCAGGTTGGAAAAGTGCTCTGAGAGCATAGAGTCCAACTGCTCCCCCAGCACTGCCAAGGCCACCACCAATCCATGTCCCTAAGTGCCACATCCACATGTCTTATAAGTCCCTCCAGGAATGAGGACTCCACCACTGCTCTAGGGAAGAAGTTTCCACTAACTTTCCAACCTAACCCTCCCCTCGCACAGCTGGAGGCAGTTTCCTCCTGTCCTGTTCCTTGCTCCTTGGGAGAAGAGCCCGGCCCCCACCTGGCTCCACTGTCCTGTCAGGGAGTTGTAGAGAGTCAGAAGGTCCTCCCCGAGCCTCCTTTTCTCCAGGCTGGGCTCCCCCAGCTTCCTCAGCTGCTCCTTATACAACTTGTGCTCCAGCCCTTTCCCCAGCTCTGTTCCCTTCTCTGGACGTGCAGTTTGCACCAGTGCGGCCCAGTGTCCACCAGCAGCTGTGACAGTCCATGGAACCCTCCCCTTTCCCACCCAGCCATTCATCTTTCCTCCTCTTTGCCTCCTGCAGCAGACCTTTGTGCCCTGTGCTGCTCTGGAGACACAGGGACCAGCATTTTAATGAGCAGTTCCCATGGGGCCAGACGTCACCGCTGGATTTGGGTTGCCGGTCCCTGTCGTTCCTGCTGGGTTTTGGCGCAACTGTAACTGTTTAACTTATAAAAGCTGTGACCTGGGGGCTGGGAAGGTCGGATAACATTGTCCCATGGACTGCTGGGAGTCTGCAGGGCCAGGGTGCGTGTTCCCATGGAGCAGAAGGGGCTGTGTGCTTACACCTCTCACTTTCCACACCTTGGAGATGTCCTTGGTCTCTGGAGCTTGCGGGACAGGTCTGGCAGAGGTGCTGGGATTGCTGGAGCCCTGTAGGACAGCCCTCGTGGGATGGGGTACCTCATACAAGACATCCTCACCTCGAACACTCCCTGTGGGCACCCCCATGAGATACTGCAGAACGGGGCACCCTGCATGGGACACAGCATGTGGGGTACACTGCAAGGGTCCAGCTGGGTACAGTGAGCTCACCTTGGCTCTCACCTTGCAGGTCTGGTTCCAGAACCGACGAGCCAAGTGGAGAAGACAGGAGAAGATGGAGGCTAGTTCCATGAAGCTCCATGACACCCCCGTGCTCTCCTTCAACCGGCCTCCCATGACCCCCAACGTGGGGCCCATAAGCAACTCCCTCCCACTCGATCCATGGCTGACATCCCCCATCTCCAGCGCCACCACGGTCCACAGCATCCCCGGCTTCATGGGAGCCCCCCAGGCCCTGCAGCCCCCCTATGCTGGGCACTCCTTCCTCAACACCCCCCCGCCGATGGCACAGGGCATGCAGCCCATGGCCTCCGCACCCTACCAGTGCGGCACCCCCTTTGTGGACAAGTACCCGCTGGAGGAGGTGGACCAGAGGAGCTCCAGCATCGCCTCGCTCCGCATGAAAGCCAAGGAGCACATTCAGACCATTGACAAGACCTGGCAGCCCATTTGATGAACGCTCCCCTCCAAGCTCCTGGCCGCCGCTCCTGCCCCTGGTGCTGGCTCGGCCCCGCGGCGGGTGAGGGAGGACAGTGGGTGCCCAGCAGGACCAAAGCTGGCACCGGGCAGGGATGCCAGGCTGCATCTTCCCCACACTGACCCACCACCGACGGTGTCAGGAGAGCGAGTCGGGGTGCTGGCAGGATCCCACGGCTGGGGGGAAGCACTCCAGGAGAGCCCCTTTGCCTCTCTGAGGCACGAAGATCAGCTGAGGACCTGGCTGAGGTTCAGGCATCCCACCGGGCCACCCACCACACCCCAGCTGGACACCTCCTTTCTCTACAACCCTTCCCCTTTCCATTATTATTAACTTTTTTATTTTTAATGCTGCAGATTTAAACAAAACTGAACAGAAAGCTCTAGTTCTGTAGGAAGTACTTGGGGGGATGTTTTAGCTGTGTCGGGGCACGCTGCCAGTCGTGCCGGGAGATACAGCAGCGCCGAGAGCACGGGTGTGTTATCAGTAAAGAGATAAGCTGCACAGCTGCCGCATGCTGGAGTCGGGCGCTGCCGGGGCCTCGGTCGTGCCGTGCCCTCCTTTGCACTTTGTGGCTGCCAAGCCTCTGCCAGAAAGGAGCTTTCCGTGTTGATCATGGGAGCATCATCCCTGCATGCTCTCCCACCCTGCTCCCTCGGCTTGCAGCGTGCAGGGCTGGGCCAGCAGCAGGGCCAGCAGCAGGGCCAGCAGCAGGGCACAAGTGACCTCATCCAGCCCCAGATGGGACTGGCTTGTGCTGCACCGTGGCCTCACGCAGGTCGCCTGCTCGACTGTCCCTTGGGGGCTGTGCCCATTGCCCTCCGCCCCAACACTCCCAGAGGTGCCAGTGGCAGAGGGCTGGTGGGAGGATGGGGAGCAGGGGGAGCCCCGAGGCCTCTGGTCACGGCTGGTGAGAGGAGGGAGCCAGCTGTGAGCCCTGGGGTCACCACACCTGGGTTGTTGGGACACACCAAGACCTGGCTTACCCCTTGCCAGTGTTTACTGCCAGGTGGTGGTGACAAGGTGCCGTGTCCTTGGGGATCCCCAGAGTAGCTGTGCAGCTCTGGGGGACCCCATCTGTCCCCCTGCTGGAGCTTGGGGCACAGCCAGTGCCACCGGCACCCTGACCCATGGCAAAGGCCAGCATGGCCCCAGCACACGACTGAGTCCACAGTGGCTTTGAGGTGCTTAAGCACAGCTGGGATAGCAAGACAGGGGGGCTTATCCCTGGATGAGCGGATGCCCCGGGTTCCTGGAATGTCCTGAGGTGTCCTAGGTTCCTGGGGTGCCCCAGTCCCTGGAGAAGCCAGACAAGGGACAACCCTGTCCCCACCAAAACGTTTCCCCAGAAAATCTCACTTCTGACCTGACACCAGCCTCCAGCCGGGACTGAGCTGGGGCAGCCCCATCCCCACCGCGGCCCCCCGGCCCAGACCCCGCTCAGCGCCAACGCCCCCGCCTGCAGCCCCCACCCCCAGCCCGGGGTCTCACCCCGACCCAAACCCCCCGGGGACGGCCTCTGACGTCTCCAGAGCCCCGGGGTCGGGCGGGTCTGGCCGGGATGCCAGCGGGCCAGGCGAGGCACTGACCCCGGCGAGACCCTTCTTCTTGTGCCCAGTCCCCCGGCTGCTGCTGTTCGTCTGTTTCGTTAGCGGCAATTAAACCTTTAACAACCCATTAAACGCATAATCGATGCTCCCCGGCTCCCCAGCCCAGCTAATGGGGTGAAGCGCCCCGGCCGAGGCGAGCAGATAATGAAGCAACGGCTGCGGAAGTAATGGGGTTTGATCCGGGGGACGGGACGCGCTCAATGGGGGCTGCGCTTTTCACATGACATAATTACCGAGGCTGGCGCCAGCCCGGGGCACCCCTCGGCCTCCCGAGCGCCAACAAAGGCCGGCTGGCGCTGGGAGCGGCAGCGCCGCACCCCCGGCTCGTTTGATCGGAGCCTAATTGGGGCGAGGGTGCTCCCCCAGCCCGGCCCCGCAACCGCCGCCCGAGAGCGCCGAGGGGCCCCGGCATGAGGATGCGTCCCCCCGGGTCCTTGGGTGGGGGTTGTGAGAATTATGGAAATTATGAGCTGTATTCCATGGGGTGGCACAGGGAATGTCGGAGTACCCTCGCTTGGTGCCCTCCTTCCCTTCCGTGGGTGTCCCCGGTGCTGCGCTGCACCTCCTGCAGGAACCGACGAGATTTCTGACCCCAAAAATACCATTTAAACGCAGGGAGGGCGCAGAAGTGCGGAGCCGCCTGTCCGGACCATTTTATTGGCACTTTCCTCGGTGGATACCCACTGGAGCCCAGCATGTGGGGGTTTATGGGGGAGAAATCCAAGCAAAAAGGCATTTTTATCTCCCTTAGATCCCAATCCTGTCCGGAAATCGCTCACTGCCCAGATGGAGCCGGTTCCTGGGGTTGTATTGTGAGGAATAGGTGCTACTGGGAGGGCTTGGGGCACCAGGGGCTGCTCCCACACCCTCGTGGCCGAACAGAAGCCCTCCCGCTCCACCCCCTGTAATCTCCTCCCGCGGGATTTTCCCCCTAAGCTGCTTATTTCTCTCTATTTCTCCCAGGCCTGAACGAACCTAGCCCTGCCCTGGCACGTCGTCTCGAGCCCTCTGAGCCCTGGTCCCTGGGCACTGTGCCCCTAGTGCTGCCCGCTGGTGGCCTGGCACATGGGGCTGGCGCTGCCCAAGGATGTGGGGGTGGCATTGCCATGCCAGGGACATGCAGTTGGGGCCCACAGTCCCAGTCGTGCTGTGCTGTGAGACCTGCACCCTTTGGCACAGGCCGGGATGGAGCCCTGCCTCTGTGCATGTCACTTCCACCCCCTCCATCCCCTGGCCTCCAGCAGGACAGACGGACGGACGGACAGACGGACAGACGGGAGGGAGGTGGTGGGGGGGGGGTTGTGCCTCACTGTCCGTCTATAGGGTGTGGGAGCTGGGGCACTCAGGGCTCAGGTTCTCCTCAGGGGTGTTGACCCATGAGCTCTCCACCACCCCCCAGCTCCCGGGGGGAGAGGAAAAGAGGGGGCTGTGGGGTGGTGAGGGGGAGGCCGCGCACTGCAGGTTGAGCTTGGCGATGAGCGGCCGCCCCACGTTCACCCGCTGCCGTTCCTCCACAAAGTCATCCATGCCCTGGTAGCGGTACTGCAGGTACACGGTGAAGGCCAGCTCCTGCTGCAGGGACAGCAACACCATGGGCTCCTGTCCTGGCATGGCCATGGTCACACTGTGCCCCCAGCACCGCCAGCCCCTGACCACCATGGCTCTTACCCGCAGCTTCTGCAAGCCACAGATCCGGCTGTAGAGGCAGCAGGAGGGGCAGCCGAGGCTCCAGACGGGCGCCAATGGACTGCCCAACTCCTCTGGGCTCTCCTTGTTGGTGCATTTGAGGTCCACATCCAGCTCCTGCCATGGATAGCATCCACATGAAAACCACCACAGCTTCACCCCCTGTTCCCCAGCATTGCCCTGGTAGGGGCTTCAGCAGCTGCTCCCACCTCGGGAATATCAGTGAGTCGGGCCTCACACTTGGTGATGTCCTTGGGGGCAGCCACCACACGCGTGTAGATGATCATAATGTTGGAGAACTCGGCTGCGAAGCCCAGCTGCACGGTGACACCGCAGTCGAAGTGGAGGTGCCGGCTCTCTGGCAGGACTGGGGAGGGGACAGGGAGCACAGGGTTGGGGCCTGCAGGGGCTCAGGGCTGCAGCTGGATCCACAGGCGAGGTGGCCGCTGGGTCACCCCAGAGCAAGGGTGGCAACACGGTGCTGTCTCCAGGCCGGTGGCTCTGTGCCACCAGTTTCTCCTCCAGGTGGGAGGAACCCAGCAGATGTTGTTTGCAATCTCTCTGGTCCTGAGGCTGTCCCCCCTCTAGATGCCAGCTTGGGACAGGGTGGCCATGACTCACCATGAGCCTTGGCCCACTGCAGGTTCCTGGCAGAGGACTCATCCTGGCCCGGAGGGCGGATGGGGTCTGTCAGAGCCCGTCTCTCTGAGAGGTTGCTGCGAAGCTCCAGTGCCTGCCGTCCCCGCGTGATCTCCAGAGTGCCCATGTCTGCAGGGGCACAGGGGGTTGGCAGGGGCCACCATGGTGGTCCTTGTTCCCCACTGCTCACTCACCTTCAGCCACCTTGTCCAGCAGCACTGTGATCTTCTCATCCTCCAGCAGCCAGCGCTTGAGGAAGGTGACGAAGATGCCATTGGAGAGCTCACCTTGGCTCAGCTCATAGGCTTCAGCATCTGCACACCTGCGGGGACAGAGCAGTGGCTGGATCTGGCATGGGACCTGGCACTCACTGAGAATTGGCCTCCAACAGGATGACAGCTCTAAGGAAGCCAGAGCTGGGTGTCCAGCACTCTTCCTGTTCCCACCACAGCATCTGGCCACCGTACTGGGGACAAGTGAGAGCAGGGCTGGATCCTGGATGCTTAAAGCATCACCAACCCAAACTCCCATGCTCTGGAGGAGTCTTGGAGCTTCATGCCAGCAGGTGCTGCCTAAAGCCAAGCAGTGCCATGGGCACCTCCCTGCCCTGTGAGGGACTAAGGGCTGCTGCTTGCCCACCCCCTCCAGCATCAAGGGTGGAGGGATGCAGGTGTGGGGATCTGAGCCCCTGCCCTGCCCTGAGCTAGGCAGGGAGACTCAGCCCCACTGCCTGTGCCAGGGGATGGTGGGAGGGGACCCACGTGGCATAGCCAAAGACGATGTTGGCTGTGACCTCCAGCGCCCCAACCTGCGGAATGATGTCATCATTGAGGTTTCTGCAAGAGAAGAGAAAAAAAGCTGGGCAGAGTGAGAACCTGTCCTCCCCCAAAACCCACCCCAAAGCACACCAGACCTTGAGGGCTGCTATGTCCCCCTCTGCCCACCCATTACAGCGTTTGCTAGCTCACAGGGGCAGTGAAGTCTTGGGGAATTTAGACAATGGGTTTAGATGGGATCCTGGGGGTGCCACACTTCCCTCCCCCAGGAGCCACCACCCCCAGCCACCACCCACGGGTCCCTGTGCTGGCTCTCCCTGACTGGCAGCTTGTCCCCAGGTTGGTGTCAGGGCCGTGTCACCTCTTGCGGCACATGTCAAGCAGGAAGATGTTGAGGCCGGTGCGGCGCTGCTGCATCTCCCGCAGCACCCGCTGCACGCACAGGCAGTGCTCTGAAGTGTAGGCGCTGGGCGCATCAATGGGCACCATGAAGCTGTTGCCAAAATTTTCATAGCCGTGCCCAGCATAGTAGAGTAAACCTGCTGGGGAAACAGAGGGCAGGTGACACGGTGGTATCCCCTGACCTGCCAGCACCTGCCTCTTGCCTGGCTGCACCCCAAGACTCCACCAGCATAAAACCACGCAGCTGCCCCTGGGCTGGAGCCACCCTGGCGGGTGTTGTCGCACCGTAGACACCCTTGTCAAGGAGGAGGAGGAACTCATCGACAGCCATCTGCATCTCGGCCTTGCGCAGGTCCAGCAGTGACACCACCTTGAAGTCGAGCTGGCGGAGGAGGGCACTGAGGGCGTGAACATCCACGATGGGCGCCTGCAGCTGCTTGTGGTGCAGGTAGTGCATGTTGCCAATTAGCAGTGCCACTTTGTCCGTGGCTGCAAGGACGGGAGAGGGACGGGTTGTTACAGAGAGGGACACACCTGCTCTCCATGTTGCCCACAGAGGTGACACCCAACTCTGGCCAGCATCACTGTCCCTGGATACCAAGGTACCCTGTGGCATCCCTGTCTTGCTGATCCCTCAGGTTATGGGTAAGGGTTAGGGTTGGAGTTTTGGGTTGAGGGTTAAGGTGCTCTCCTAATTCAGGTTGGGGCTGGGCTGCCCTTCCAGTATGCTGCACCCAAAGCATTCCTGGCCAAGTAAAGCCTTATGGGGTGACAATGATGACACTGGCAACAATCGGAGCCCCCCAGGGCCACCAGCCCCTTCTGGGCAGGCTCTTACCGTACAGCTGTCCAGGGCTGCCATGCTCTAGAGAGCCTGAGAAGAGAGAAATGCCGTGCCATGGCTCTCCAGTACCAGGGGAGCACAGCAGGCAGAGCAGCACAGACCTGTCCACTGTGCCCCCACCTACCTCCATCCCCCTCCTGCCAGGAGCCTCCAGAGGTGAAGAGCCGTGGGCCTGTGGCAGAGGGGATATCAGGGACACTGTGCATGGCATTCCCCTCCCAGCATGGGCTGCAGTCCCCCCAAAACTGTGGAGCAGCCATGAGGGTTTACTGGGAGCAGAGCAGGTGAGGGAGTCACAGAGGTTTGTCTGGGGCCCTCACCGATCTCTACATCCACCTCCTGGCTCCACACCTCGTGGAAGAGGTTGAACACACGGCAGGAGTAGCTGCCCCGCTCAGCTGTTGTCACCAGCTTCACCTGCCAGCAGGACAGAGCAGGAAGCTGGGGCACTGTGCCAGACCATGCTGCACTGTGCCACACTGTGGCATGCTGTACCATGCCAGAGGTCCCTGCATACCTGGAGCTGGGGTGCCTGTGCCCCTTCCACGGGGCGCCGGTTCCTGAACCACTGGTACTGGGGTGGGGGGTTGCCAATGGCTCTGCACTCCAGCACCAGCGTGTCCCCCTCGGCCAGGCGGCACGGCCGTGGCTGCCGCAGGATCTGCAGCCCTGCCATAGTCGGGCAGTAGCCACTGGCTGGGGAAGGGACAGGGTGGCAAATTAGGCACCCAGCCATGGCAGCACTCTGCAGAGATGCTCCAGGCCCCAGGTTCTTCACCCACAGGCCCTGGCACCCATGGATGGCATGAGGCAGCAGGCATAAGGAGGACATAGGGCATGTGGCTCCTCTGTGGGTGCCATCACCCCAGCAAGCCCAGAGACCTTCACAGCTGAGCCAGGGTGTTACATGGCAAATGACACCACTCAGGACCCATCCCTGTCCTGATGGGGCAAGAGGTGCCCTGCAGGAGATGTCCCAATCAGGCAACTAGTTCCCCATAGCTGCCAGCCCAGGGACAGAGATCTTGAGATCCACCTGAGCTGGGGCTGCTGCTCTTCTCCACCTGGACATGAGCCCATCTGGAGAAGGTGAAGGTGGCCCCACAGTTCACCCGGCAGATGTACCACTTAGGCTGGCCTGCCGGGCTGGCTGTGTCGATCACGAGCTCTGGGGATGTGGCTCCAGGCATCTACAAGACAGAAGGAAGCCAAGGAGTAATGGGCTCCCTCTTACCCGTGCGGGTCCCTCACCATGAACAGGGTGCAGGGGCCCTGCTCAGTGTGGCACAGTGGGACCTCACCTCCTGCCTCCCACAGAACCACTGGTATGTGAGCCCTGGTGGGCCAGATGCGCAGCAGGTCAGGGACACCTGTGTCCCCTCCACCACCACCTGTGACTCTGGCTGTACCGTGATGCGAATCACATCCTGGACTGCAGGAGAGGGGAGACCTGGGCTGGCTGAGTCCCCTGTCCCGCACTACCCCATACCATCTAGTCCCATCCCCACCCACAACACATTCTTGTCTCCCAGCCCATCCTATCACACCCCACACCTCTGTCCTGTCCCAACCATCTCATCCTACATTGTCTCATTGGCATATTCAGTGCTATCCCATCTATGCATCTCATCTTGTTTCAGTCTATCCCATCTCCCTCTCCTCTCCTCTCCTCTCCTCTCCTCTCCT